TGGACTCAGAAACGAGAGACTTACATTTCAACATGCGAGTGCTCTATCACCAGTTAATAAAAGTATTTTGAAGAAATAAGAATAAAGAAAACGTTTACAGAAGGTTCAGTCTATCAGAGCGACAAACTCCGATCTCACTTAACTTTTTTATTGGAGTAGGACAACACAAGATGTAGATCTTAACGGTTGTGTCTGGTAACAGTTAAGTTTATTTGAACTTCACTTCATTGAAGTAGATCATAACTAGACATTATTTATCCATATATAGGCTACATGTCGGCCTTGTCGTTACAATGAATTTGGAATGTTTTAAAACCGCCGACAGCATGACGATAATACCAACATCAGTATGAAAAAGTTGTTTGATATCAATTTGCTGATTTAATTAGTCTATAAAAATGAAATTAACAACAAAACAAATAAGTTTTATTATGGGCATTTATTTTCTAGTATGTAATAATTTTGTAAACAAATAAGAAGAGCACGAAATGAAATATGTACAGATACAATTCATGGTAAGATTAGAACAACATTTTACATGTTGCCGACATTTGTTAATCACAAAATATTTACAATATTAAACATGTAAAGTGCGTAAAATACATTATGGTAGATGCAAATTACAACGGTTAAACGGTTTAAGGTAATCTATCGTTTTAGCGTAATCAATTCGGCTGCAATAGTAATGTGCGGGAGAGGTAGCTGATGAATATATTTGTTTAAATAAGTTTATTTAAGTCACATTTTACAAAATATCACAGATAATTGATTTAAAATAACAAACAGTGACCAAAACAATTTAAATAACATGAAACTAACTTTAAACTAGGTGTTTGAGATAAATATTAGTAGAAAAAAAACAGCGGCCATCTTTCCAAATAAAATTTAGAGTAGTTTCCCTGGATAAAAATGTCTATTCGTATGTATATTGTGTTGACTTTGTTGTTTAATATACATACCTGTCTTGTTTAATATAAGTAATACAGAGGGCCGTCTTCTTATCTTTAATTTCATTTTCAAGTGAAATGAAGGCTATGTATGTATGTACATCCAAGATCTCAAAAAATTTTGGGAGGTCCAACATTTACTAAACCCTTTTGTACTGATTAGGGGTCGTCCATAAATGACGTCACAATCGTAGGGGGGAGTGGGGGGGTCGGTAATTTTGTGACGATGTGTGATGACGGGGAGGGGGGGGGGGGGTCGGATGGTGCTACGTCACACTTTTGCTTTATAGATAAGAAAAGTTAGAAAACGAATTTTAGACATTATTTAGCTTTTTTAAAAAAACAGTTTTAATAAATTATAATAGGAATTGATTAAAATACTATATTTTGACATATTTCAGACAAGATTTTGGAAAAATATCGATGTTTTAAAAAAAATCAACTGCAATTTTGAGAGGGGTGGGGGGGGGGGTTGTAGGCTGATGTGTGACGTCATTTTAGGGGGGGGGTCTGACTTTTTGTGACGACGTGTGACGGAGGGGAGGGGGGGAGGTAAAAATCGTATTTAAAAAGCGTGACGTCATTTATGGATGACCCCTTAACTTGTCAATTATTAGGTCGTCCATATTCCTCATAAATGACGTTGGACTCAAAATATGGGACGGTGTAAAATATTTTTTTCAAAAATGATGAAGAATATATTCGTTTTCGTTAGAAATTGTGATTAAAGGTTCGGGCATAGTAGAACTGCGATATGATATTAAATCATCATCTTGCTTTTAGTAACTATTGGGTGAGAGGGAAATTGTCGGGAAAAGTATGACGTCATTTATGGGCGATCCATTTAATTAAGTCTAGTTGTTTATTTTGTCTGTAGACATTAGTCTTAGGCCTACACTTTTTCTGAATTAAGATTATTGTGTTTTTTAAAATAGGTTCAAATTTTAATTAGTTACATTTGAATACCACATGGTTTTTGTTTTTCTTTGCCTTCTGCTCTCATCAGTTTTTGATTTCTTCAGTAGTCAATGTTTACCCCTCCCCACCATCCATTATTACCAAAAAAAAAAAAAAAAAAAACACCCACTATATGTGTCATAGCGTAGATATATAGAATTAGACTAGACGAGTAGAGGTTACTAAGGACGGTACGAACTTGACGGTAGACGATTTGGTGCGAGAGTATTGTGCGCGTGTTCAATAAAATATGTGTGGCGTGAGTGTGACGTGAGCATGGTGCGACAATGTACCGATGACGTAAGACGCAGCAGTGAAGTTAGTTGGGGGTTAGATATAGTAGAAGACGGATGTATTATTAGTTATTGTGAAAATGATCTATAAGTGTGTGTTAATTAAGTTCATGTTATTTCATAAACTAAGTTGTTGACATTGTTACTTAGTGTCTGCGGAACATAAGAGTGATTCCCGTCCTCCTCACGAGTATAGTAGTTGCCGTATGAATAGTAGTAGATCAGAATATATTGAGATTATATATAAATCGCCCATCACAATATAGTGATATCCCACTCTAGAAAAAAAACTAGATCAACGTATAGTTCGTAGGAAAATTAGAATCTATCACTTATTCGTCTGTTAAAAAAAAAAGAAATACGTCTTTTTTCTCAACCACGCCGTTTCATCCCCCACTAAGCACAACGTCACAAAGTTCGCGGCGCGCGTGACGTCATTTGTCATTAGGCTAATGTTTAAGAAAGATACCGCGTAATTAAAAGAAAATCAAAACAGGCCCTAAATCACTATGGCGATGAGACTTTAACGACGTTTAGCCTGAAGAATAGATCTAAATAACTTTAGTTCGGTGAATTATTTTGGTGTTTAATTTATTACAGTGGCATGATGTTCTCCCTCTACTATACAAATTCACGTGCTTTTAATTTCTGCAACCTGCTGCCCTGAGACGTTCGGCTCTAAAATGCCCGTGATACAGCGGCTTCGGTAAATGCATTTAGGCTCCCGGTCCCACCTATAAACGTCTGTCCATTAAGCTCCACGCAAAACGTGTGATTAATATGTGAACATAAGCGGCGCTAGTGGTGGTGTCAACAGGGGCCAAGCTCAGGTCTTAAAGGTGCTCCGCACTTCATAAAAGACAAAATTGATGTACAGGTATCGTCGGACTCTGGCGTTTTGCCGACGGCCGTACTCCTAATGCACAGTCTTAGAGGCTGTCCACTGCTAACACTATTTTATGTTAAATTCAAGCCTATACTGAGCTGTGGCTTTACATTAGCTCAGTGGCGTAGCGAGGTCGAGTGTCACCCGGTGCGGCACTTAATGGTGTCACCCCCCAGAGGCGACAAACTTTCAATTTTCGATTTGTCCCATTTTACCTGCTAGTCAATACTTGTCGAATATTGTTGCCAGGAGCTACTTGGTTTGAGCCTTGTTGTCAGAAGTTGTTTCATTTGGAGTCAATATAGTGCTGCCTATTTTCGTCGGTAGGCATTTAGTGGCAGGTCCTTTTTGGCGGGGATGATGTGCTGAGGTTGTTTAACACCGCTTAGTACAACATGCATGCAATAGTTATGAACAAATGTATGCATGAAAACGAACGCTTTATGTTCCCCATTTTTCACTGAGCACAACTTTATAGAAGATTCCAAAATAGACGTCACACATCCCCCCCCCGACCACCCTGCGTAAGTTGACGTCACATTAGCATTGCATATGTGACATCGTTTATGGGCAACCCCATATAACTCATTTTGGGTATTTGGTATCAACATTTTGACAACAAAGGTTATTCAAAATGTATATAGGACTTGACATCTACCATAAATGACATCCAGTGGCGTAGTTAGGGGAGGGCGGGTGGGGCGACCGCCCCGGGCGCCGACCCTAATGGGGCGCCAAAAGGGGTAGAAAAAATAATTTAAAAGCTCATTTTAAGATGAAGTATTAAAAATAACATACAGTTAAAGTTACGAAAATAAATGACTTCAAGGCTTTTCCTATATCAATTTTGTGGCAGCGAAATAGAAAATCTAATTGAATAGTAATTTATTTTTTTTTATTTACTTTGGGGGCTGGGGCTTTTTTTTTAAAAAAAGGGGGGGGGGGGCGCTTTTTCAAAGACAGGAATAACTATACATAGAATGGGAGAGGGGCGCAAAAATGTATAGTCCGCCCCGGGCGCAGGAATCGGTTGCCACGCCTCTGATGACATCGCACACTTAAGGGGTGGAGTAACTGGTTTTGAGACGACGTTTTACGCGGGAAGTGGGAGGGGTAAGAAACGTGAAACGTTGTGTATTTCGCCTAATACAAAAATGCTAGAAATATTTTTCATTAGAATTATGGCTTGACTTTTTAATAGACAGGGCAAAAAGGTAATTTTCGACATTACGACTATTTCGTGACGGCAAAAATGGGGGTGGGGGGGGGGGGGGGTTAAGGTGAAGAGAGGTCAAAAGCGGGACGTCATTTGTGATTAAATCACTAATTAAAGGAAAAAAGCATGAAAATATTAAATGAAAATAGGAAACAAACAATAACACAAACAATAAGAATGAACTCAAACTAATATTTAAATAAACATTAGATATGTAGTGGTAGCTCTATAAAAATAGGGAGTATCTTAATGTATAAAAATTGCATCTCATAATAATAATTTTTAATTATAGAACTGATGTTTATTGTCAGTCAATTAAATTGTTTAAAGGGCAGAATTAAAAAAAAAAACGCATGCTTTGTATTTAAACACAAGACTAACCTATTTAACAGCAAACATCAATACATTTCCATACAAATAGAAATTAAAGGGAAATGACTCAAAATAATATTTTCTTAAGATGGCCGCTATTTTTTAATAGCAAATTTAGTATCTGTAACATCGTTGTTAAACTTTAATTTCCTGACATTTTTATTGATTTAAACCTTAAATGTGGTTTAATATTCAATTATCTTTAGTATTTTAGTAAAATTTGCAAAAATATATCCATATTTAAGCCATATTTATTAGTTACCTTATCCCTACATTACTAGTGACGGCCGAATTGATTACGCTAAAGCGATAGATTACCCGGTTTAAAACAATCAAAACATTTCTTTTAATCATTTACATGTTATAAAATATTTACAACATAGGCAAGTCTTTACACAAACAGTTTAATGACGGGAAAGGTTCCGCCATTTTGTTTGTTTACATTGTGTAGACCAGGGGAGAGAACTAACAGTTACATCAGTACCTCCACTCCCCACTATAATTTCCTTCAGAGTTTGATCCACTGTGGGGATGGTGATACAACCACCTGCCAAATCCCAGCCTGTAGACAGGCGCTCCACTGGAGCCAGGACATGTACATGTTGTGTACCAGTAACTGGTCCAGTAATACCGTCCATCATCCCTCTCATGTTTGTGTGTCCATTGTCCTACAGAGACCTGTTTAGGACAGCCATGAGGATGTGACACTATAACGGTCAACTTGTCCACATCAACAAATCTCTCGTATTTGTTGCTTACTTCCCAACATAGACCATCAAAGCGCTGATACATCTTGTCCAGTTCATCAACCAACTCTAAGTCACATGTCACATAACTCAACTCACACATGTCTCCCTCAATGTCTGCCATCTCCACCTCCCAGCCATCAAGACTGACAACTGGACTTTTATTGTCATCAAAACCTAAAACACACCTGGTCTGTCTCGCCTCACTGTCATCAAACACCACGTGTGTGGCTGTCAACACATAAACCTTCCCCCACACTTTGCTGGGTGTGGCAGAGACTTGACACTTGGCACAACGACAAGTTTTTCTATCACTCTCTGTGTACTTGTACACACCTTCCACCCTCCCCGTCCCTAACCTCATCACGTGACTTCCTCTGTCATTATAACATGGATATGGAACTTGAGTGCCTGGGTAAAACTCTGGTCTCTCTAGACTGGTGAATTTAGTCTTTACCTGGACAGTTAGGGCTGCCAATGTTTTGATTGTCTCAGACATGAGCTCGTCGTCATGGTAACGTGAAGGGAGACAATTTATGTTGAAATCTTTAAGAGGTATAAAAGCTTTGTGACCTGGATTCTTCTTACAGCCAGTAACATGTTTGTGTAGATCAGCTTCTCCTCCATAGCACATCTCAGCTTCATGATTCCCTACAGGAATAGGGGAAAACAAAATTATTTAAACAGCCTAAACAATTTAAACACTGATATAAAATGCACATATTATTATTTTGATTAGCTATACTATGCTTACACTAACACTTGATTTAGCAATCTGATATAGATATAAATTAAACTTTTACTATCTCCTTCATCTAATGAACTATAAAATTACTAATAGTAAAGTCATCTAAATGTTATCACTAGCACAGATTTATAATTGTTTAGACTAGAGTTGTCTTATGTTTGTCATATCTCACCTGGAATAAAGACACCTGTTTGGTCACTTTTGGAAACTTTACTTGGGCTCTCACAGTATGGCACATCTAAAATAAAATAATAAGAAAATAACACATACATTACTTGATAATTACAGTGACAGGAAATGTGGCATTACTGAGATAAAATCTTATAGCTTGATTAATATCCTCTCAAAGTTCATTGTCAGATATATAATAATTGGATATTTAGCATTTACTATTACACTTATAGATAACACATGTAGGTTATTAAGGAACAGATTTTTAAATCATCTGTACTTTTAAAAGTGGCATAATAGTTTTTAATTTAGCAAAATAAAGTTACTTAAAGATTTGGTTAAAAGAATGATTTATCATGTATCTGACTCTACCTTCAGGTGTACTTGATGGCTCCAATTTTCTTTTTCTCACTTTGTTTGGGGTTTTCATGGTCTGCTTTACTGTAGATATGATTGTAGATCATTAATATAACATAGTAACTAGGTTTTATAAGTGTACTAATAAAAAATGTAAACAAATAAGAATTTGTAGAATTAGTTTTACATCTGCATATAAACATTTCTCTAGTACTAGAAACATATTGTGACTTAAAATAGATTTGTTTCTTCTAAGTACTGAAAAAACACATACAATTTATACCACAGATAACAAAACACGATAGTTTTTTGGCTATAAACATAGCACCTATGGTAATCAGCTTACTATTTATTTGATATTAGCTTCTGGTAAACATGTTAATAGTTTTAATTAAATGTGATTTTCAAATATTTATTTTTTTGAAGAATGAGTTATATTGGAAAATAAGACCTTACAATTGCAGCTTACATAATAAATTACCTGATTAATTTTGATACAAATGTTGGGATATTCACTAGCTGTCACTCACAAGTGTCCACTAAACCTTGAAAACAAAAGTATCTAATTATTTTGATGAATAAAGTTAGATCATTGTTTAATTTTCAAAAGATAATTTATTTTCTCAATAGTCAGAAGTGTTAACCTAGAAAAAATATTTCAACTGATTCTCAGCTAAGCAATATTCAGTTTAATTGCACTGTTTTCTAAACAATATAGTCTTAATATCCATATAAGCATGTTGGCTGTTAATTTTCCTCTACTATGTTTAATAACTATATAAAGTACTTTATTTAAACATTGGAAAAAGCAAATAAAACATCTACACTAAGTTTGCAGAAACTGTAACTTATTTAAACAAGTATTATACACAATGTGAATGTTTAACAGCTTCTGTGGATACATTGCCTAATCCAATTAGTTTAGAATATCCCCATGCCCAAAATTTCAGATCAAGTTAAAACACATTTCAAATAAAAATATGTATCCGAAGAATCTTGTTCCGTAGTTATTACAGCAAATAAGTTACCTAATTAGCCTGTATCTTTAATGAGTTTAATAAAAATCAGTTATAACATTTAACTTTGAACTATTATGAACATAAAAATAGCATAGAGCATGTGCATGCAATAACAGTCGTCACATAAAAATGGTTAGTATTTCATATTTATTCTCAGGCCTAAATAAAATGTATGAAGATTAACTTTTGAAAGAGAATCAATTTGTCCTTCAATATTCATATTTTTTGTAGATCTACTTATGAATAGCTCTATAGCATAGTTAATTGTTGAAACAAAAAATTGACACAAAAATTGAAAATACCTCTATAAATGCCCAATGATGTTTATACTTATTAATGCATTAACATGCAATAACAAATTAGGCTAAAATACTACACTGTAAAATGACCTATTAGTACCAAACATTTGGTTAGGTGGTTTAGACTTCATTATACTTCATACTGAATACTTTAAAACTTTAAAAATGATACACCTACTATTATTTGTTATAGGCTAATTTACTTAAATTTACTTTGTGCCATGTTTAGAATCTATTTTCTTTGCTTTATTTTTTATTGTATAATTATTGGTCGAATTCTGCATCATAATTTTTACCTGCACTCTTTTATATGACCCAACATTCTTAGACAGAAGTTCTAAATTGGATGCAGTTCTGAAACCAGTTTCTTCCAGGCATCTCTTCGCATTGCCCCCCCCCCCCCCCCCCCGAAAATTTCAAGTCCCCCCCCCCCCCCCCCGGTAAAAAAAAGTCTGGAAGAAACACTGTCTGGAAGTTGTATAGATCTAGAATCTAGACTCTAGATCTAATCTAGAGTCTAGACTAGATTTCTAGATCCATATATAATAATAGAATCTACATGTAGATCTATATCATTAGATGATTAGAATAGATATAGAATAGATTTTCAATAGATCTAGATTTTTCTAGTGATCTATTATCTTGTCCAGATCTAGATTATCATGATATATTATTATACTACATAATTAATATAGATCTACTACTTCTGATCTAGATTATATCATCCTAATAGATCTAGATCTACTTAGCTTGAGTAAAGTACTAAATTCTAGATCTACTCTTTACTCTTAACTTGTATTAAAGACTTAAGTATCTAGATATATATACTCTGTACTGTAGTTATAGATCTAGTTCTATAGTCTAAGTCTAGAAATCTAGATCTAGAATAGCTGGATCTAGAAACTAGATGAGCTAGATGTAGATGTGTAGATGTGGGCCTTGATCTAGAACACTGAAAAGTTATAAGTAGAATCTAGATATCTAAATCTAGATCTAGATTTAGATCTAGAATCTAGATCTGGATTCTAGACTAGTCCCTTAAGATCTAGATCTAGACTAGATCTAGATAATCTAGAATCTAGATTTAGATCTACACTCTAGATTATATCAAGAGTTCTAGACTAGATAGTACTAGATTCTAGATCTAGATATAGAAAGTCTAGAATCTAGATCTAGATTCTGGATCTAGAACTAGATTCTAGATCTAGATCTAGATTCTAGATCTAGATTAGATTATTCTTTAATTCTAGCTAGATCTAGATATTTAAAATCATAAATGTATTTGGGCCCGATAAATTGATACAATTATTTAAATGTTTACCAAACTGATCAGTAGAATCTATTACTCAGATAAGACTGTAAGATCTGCTATGAATTTTATTTTTAAATCGGACTAACCCGAGAGTTGAAAGCAGCTCCTAAAACAAATCGGGCGACCAAGGAAGTGAGAACGTCTGCTACAAATGATTGCTTCTTTTTATTAATTTTATAGTATCGATAAAAAGGCACGAACAATATTTATCAAGTTATAACTACTCAAATTTTGATTGCAAATTAGGATAATTTGCTAAGTAAATGCCAGATATAAAAACTATCTACAAATTATAAATTGTTTTTATTAATTAATTTTGCATAATCTAATACTTACGTTATTGATAATAGTACTCGAATTTTTTCTTGGGCGTCGATACCACAAGTTTTAATTGCCACATTTTAAATCTACTGACGATTGTGTGTTGTATTCAATTTTATGTTAACCAGTGTGTCTACTATTAATTATTGAATTAATGTTAAATGTAATTGCTTCGATAATGGGTCCGTAAGCTGTTTAATGTGTACCTCGGAGCTATAATGGTTTGTTGCAACTATTTTATAAAGGCTAAATATTTTAATAATTATTTATGTATTATAATTGTAAGCTGTATCATCCCTTCTGGCATATGGATCATCAATACTCAAAACTAGAAAACATAAGTTACGGTAATGCTTTACGTTATTTATTATTAAGAAAGAACACTGTTTCTTTGAAGCATTTCTTCGGGGGGGGGGGTGGATATGGGGGCTGTAAATCTCCCCTTCAGGCAAGTCTCTCTCCACCCCCACCCTTTAAATTACATTTAAATAAAGTAGGCCCATAGTGTTTGCCCATTCGAACGACGAGAATACTACATTCCTCAGCAGTATGATATGATTCGTGGTTAAAGTAAAAACATTCCCAACCAAGTAACTTTTCACACTGAAACTTTAATATTAAGATCAGAGATACGGTTAAAATTGGCCGTAAATTTCAACGCCTTCACTTTCGCTATCAGTCAGTTTGTTGCAAATTCAGTCTCGAACACATAATTTTGTCAAGTCCTACATCTTCAATGGTCGCATATGAGCTGCTGAGTGAACACTTGCCTTTTATTCATTGTCTCTATTTAATTATAAAACTAAAATTACAACTAGAAGAATAAAACTTAATCAATTGAAGGACAAGAACATTGTACGGACAGTTTCTAAATTGTATGTAAAAACTATAGGCTAGTTATATAAATAGTTAAATGGGTTAAATGTATTTAAATGTATTTATGAAATTATTTTTACACTCTTAACTAGTCTTATTCTTATCATAACTAAATGTAGATCACCACTTAGTAAATAACTATTAATACACATACATAATACAGCCATAAATATAGACCTTTATTATAAAGAATTATAAACTAAGACATCAACAGCAAACTTAAACTCTAACTTTAGCTGCGAATTAAAATGTTTTCAAAATGGCCATTTAGTCAGGTACTACGAAATTCTATTTATAACCTAGCTGAAAAAATAAATTGTCCTGGCTGTTTGATTTTCCCGCTATTACGTGTGTATGGGAAATAAAGAAACTGCATTTATTTAACAACGTATGGGCTATATGTGTCACATTTGTTCAATTAAAGATAATAGGACCAAAAAGAGGGATAAAATGTGAACTATTGCGCGTCTTGTGTGTATTGAAGTGTGTATTGAAGTACCTGCTGTTAGTAACGAACAACAAGAACATTCAAAACAATAACCTCCTCCTCCTCTATGATAATCGTTTTGGTCAACAAGTGGTCAAGTGGTCAACATACCGATCAAAACAATAACCTACTAGTCAAAATAATCAACAGTTGGTTAATGAACAATCAACAACGGGCTAAAAAATCAATAGTTGGTCAAAAAAACAGGGACAAAAATCAACAGGTGGTCGAAAATCAATCAATAACGGTCAAAATATGCAACAGGTGGGCAAAAATCAATCAATAACGGTCAAAATATGCAACAGGTGGGCAAAAATCAATCAATAACGGTCAAAATAATCAATCACTCCTCCTCCTCCTCCGCCTCCTCCTCCTCCTCCCCCTCGCCTCCTCCTCCTCTTTCGACCCAAAGGGGACCTACTATACTACTAACATACCAGCCTTTCTCAACATACCAGCCTCTCACAACAGATCAGCCTCTCAAATAGATCAACCTCTCACCATACCAGACTATCTTCTACATACACGCCTCTCTCAACATATCAGCCTCTCTCAACATACCAGCCTCTCTCAACATTCCAGCCTCTCTTAACAGACCAGCCTCTCTCAACACACCAGTCTTACTCAACATACCAGCCTCTCTCAACAGACCAGCCTCTCTCAACACATCAGTCTTACCACATAACAGACCAGCCTCTCTGAACAGACCAGCCTCTCTCAACAGATTAGCCTTTCTCAACAGACCAGCCTCTCTAAACAGACCGGATTCTCTCAACAGACCAGCCTCTTTCAACAGACCAGCCTCTCTTAAAAGATCAGCCTCTCTCAACATTCCAGTCTGTCTCGACAGACCAGCCTCTCTCAACAGACCAGCCTCTCTTAACAGATCAGCCTCTCTCAACATACCAGCCTCTCTCGACAGACCACCATTTCACAACATACCAGCTTCTCTCAATAGACCAGCCACTCTCAACAGACCAGTCTCTCTCAACACACCAGTCTTACCACATAACAGACCAGCCTCTCTCAACAGACCAGGCTCTCTCAACAGATTAGCCTCTCTCAACAGAACATCCTCTCTCAATAGACCAGTCTTGCCATACAAGACATCAGCCTCTCTCAACTGACCAGCATCTCTCAACACACCAATCTTACTCAACAGACCAGCCTCTCTCAACACACCAGTCTTAACACATAACAGACCAGCCTCTCTCAACAGACCAGGCTCTCTCAACAGATTAGCCTCTCTCAACAGACCAGCCTCTCTCAATAGACCAGATTCTCTCAACATACTAGCCTCTCTCAACAGCAGAGGCGTAGCGACTCTTCCCGGCGCCCGGGGACAAACTTTCAATTTGGCGCCCGATCAACCTGTCAATTTTCTATTTGCACCCCCCCCCCCTCGAACTTTCGATTTGCACCCCCCCCCCCCGTCATATTTTTTTATATAAATAAAGCTAAAATGCAGCTAAAATGAGATTTTAATTTGTTTTTCCAACCCATTTTGGCGCCCCCTAAGGTCGGCGCCCAGGGACATATGTACCCCCCTGCCCCCCCTTCGCTACGCCTCTGCTCAACAGACCAGCCTCTCTTAACAGATCAGCCTCTTTCAACAGATTAGCCTCTCTTAACAGATCAGCCTCTCTCAACATACCTGCCTCTCTCGACAGACCTACATTTTTCAACATACCAGCTTCTCTTACCAGACCAGCCTCTCTCGACATACCAGCCTCTTTCAACAGATCAGCCTCTCTCAACAGACCAACCTCTCAACAGACAAGCCTCTCTCAACAGACCAGTCTACCATACAAGACATCAGCATCTTTCAACAGACCAGCCTTTCACAACAGACCAGTCGTAACATACAAAAGACCAAACTCTCTTAAATGACCAATCTTACCATACAGGACACCACAAATATTCTAACAAACGTGTCTAATCTTTTAAGCCACCAGTAACTCTCAACAGACAAGCCTCTCTAAACAGATCATTCTTACCATACAAGACACCAGCCTTTCTCAACAGACCAGTCGTAACATACAATGGACCAGCCTCACATAACAGACAATAGACACATACCTCTCTCAACAGACCATTCTTACCATACAAGAGACAAGCCACTCTCGAAAGACCAGTCAGACCTATCAAGAGTTCAATGCTACAAATATTCGTGCACTGCAGTACAACCCTGATGCTACGATCTACTTCAAAGTGAATTAGACTTTCTCTATACTTCCTATATACGAGAAAGTAAAAAGAAAAATAAGTCACAAATATATATTTGCATTGAATTTGTTAATACTTTTGTGTATTAAATATTCAGAGAGTGCAAATGAAGGGCTCAGTGGAAAAAGTACTTAAGTGTATTTTGAGAGTTTTGAGAAAAATGAGGTCAAAGTTTTTAAATTGAAGCTGAAATACCTTTTATTCATTTTACTTAACTGTAACATTTTTTTTTATATACAGCACACACTGCTAGATATCTGAACCAAGTTTTATACTTGTTTTGTAAAAAATAATGATTTTGTGATAAATAAGAGGTTTTGCACTTAGGTACTTTTTGCCCTGAATTTTTATTTTCAACTTAATTTTTAAATTTACTAGCAATGTTTTGCACCCATAAATGTTTTGTCAGTCAATAATAGTCCCCTACTCACACCCTGTTTATTTATAATTCAAGCAGCTGTTAGTATGATGTTTAAATAATAGGTAGATAACATTTCTGTTGCCAGTGTTAAGTTCATCAGTGATCATCTGCCTATTAGTGTAGGTTACATAAGATGGATCTATCTACAGCTACCATTTGAATAATACCAACTGGAAATCATTTTATTAAAAGACTGCCTTTAAAGTAAACATCTAATGGCAAATAGTAATATTCTTTAACGATAAACACACTTTGACAAGATTCTGTTTATGATTATGTCAAAATGTTTATTTCCATTCAAATTTTAAACAAAAAAGGTATAAACACAAAATGAATTTAAATTATTGGTATATACAGAGTCAACAGAAATAGTAAAACAAATGTGATGTAATAATTATTTATAATCTTGATGGTAACACTATTTACCTCAATAATTATTTATACAAAATTAAATTAAATGTCCTATTCAAAATCATCAGCTTGCTCATCCTCTTCTGTAGACATTTCTAAAGGTTTGAGGGAAGTGTAAAAAGTTACACTCTCTGGAAGATGGACATGGGACAAAAGTGACATAATGTCATCAAATTTTGCTTTCTTTATTGGAAGAAAGCCGTTGAATGCCAAAGGGCAATCTTGAATAGCTGATTTTAAGGTGTTCAGTGATTTTCCCCTTTTTAATAAATTTAAAGTGAAAGTAAGAGGGCCAGTCATTGAGCTTCTGCCAACAGGGTTCTTCAGCCTTTCAAATAAAATCCCTCTGAGACTGGCAATACCCTCTGGCGCTTTAATGACTTTGTCCAGGCTAGATTTAAAATCTTTAACCCTGACAACAGGTCTACTGTCCATTTCCAAATTGTCAGTAAATGGATGTTCAACATACACAATTTTCCATGAATTATTAATGCTTGATTTGGCAATAAGATTTACCAGGTCAGAAGGCTTATAACACTTATCTGTTTTTAATTTTTTTTTTTTCAATTCTGCCAAAGTCTCTGTCACATGGCATTCTGCTGTGACCAGGAATTGGGTACTTAATAACAACTTCAGTCAGTTTAGTATTACATAAATTTTGCAAAAAAGCAACAATGTATCGGTTTTTGCTTTGAGAAAAACAATTATCTGTGAAAATGACCAGTTTTCTTATCGACTCCGGCAATTCTTCTATATAGTGTTCCAGACATGAAAGAACCTCATTGGGTCCTTTGTTAGCAAAATTTTCTGCATAAATGTACATCGAAGCATTTCCAGAGCAAACATCATGAATGCCAAGGTTATGCACAGCCAGCTGTCTTTTGTAGTACTCCTGGCCAATCCCAGTAACAGGTAGAGGCAGGTTCTTTTGGAAATCCATAGCTATGACTTTAGTATCATTAGTAGAAAGAGCAAGATGCTTATCCTCTCTTATCTGCTCATAGAAGGCATCCCCTTTTCTTTTGTGAACTTCATGTTCAGTTCTTAGTTTGAAAACCAAATCATTATTTCTGTTGACAGTGGCAGATTTAATATCAGCATTAAATTTTTCACACGTGTCACATATATCTGTGCGTGGAAACCCAAAACTAATATTAAATTCAAAGTTCAAAATATCTCTATAGATCCATTCTTTGGCCATAGTGTTCATGTCTGGGTGTTGTTCCAAAAACAACCTAAACATCTCAGAAATGTTAAGGTCAGAGGTTAGGTAGATCCTTTTTCTATTGTCTGCTCGAGAATAGTGGCTTTCTCTTGCAGGAAATGAAGAAATATGTTGACGGATTGCTTGGCGAATCTCATCATTAAGTTTTTTGTGATGGCCATGCTTTCCTCTTAAGTCTTGTAGGGGGTCTTCAAAGTTCAGGACTTTTTTCTTCAGGCGTGATTCCTTAATACCATGCAGAGCACAAAAAGCATTTTTGCACACAGGTATAGGTGAGCCAGTTTCTTTTATTGTGTAGCTGTAGCTGCTACGGAATGTTTTGGGGGCTGCCTGACTCTGCTTTCGCCTGATAGTGTTTTCTTCTTTTACAGAAATGCAACCCCTTAAATAAATGTTTTGTTTCTCATGTTCGGCAAGCTCATTAAATTCTTTTAAAATATTACTCCTTTCTCCATCGTTAAACTTCTCTAGGCATTTGCACCTGCAGTCCACATAGTGCTGGCTCCTTTCATCAACATCCTTTCCAACATGGTTTTTGTGAGCATCGCCTGCAAATATAAAGTTTACATTTTTCATTAGGTTACAACATAATATGAGTGAGGTGAAGAGGGTGTAATACTAATAGTATAGATAGGCTAATACTAGATCTAGTAATTAGATCTAGATTCTATAAATTAAAAAAAAATCACATTTTAGATAGGGCTTACTATTTAAAATAGAACTGAGAGCTGTTTAATTCAATAGAAAGGTACCTAAGGCTAATAAACGTATAATTTAAAACAGACTAGATCTAGATTTTACATAATATTAATAATATAGTCCTCAAATCGCCGAAATTCTGCAGTGATAACAGTACAGTACAGCATGAAAGCCGAAATCATAGCATGGCATGATAAGAAAGTAAAGTACAAAGTGAATGTTATTTTTAAATAGAAATTAGTATACATAGCTATCTTTAATTTTATTATTTTGATTACTCAATAAACAACATACCTGAAGCTTTGGCACGCTTTATTGCAGTCTTTGACCATTTATTTGGTGTAGATTTTCTTTTTTTCCCAGTTTTGTTTTCACTTTTCTCAACTACGTTGTCAGCCATTGTTGTAGAAAGTAACAGGAAGGGTGTGCCTTTTTGGTGCATTCTTATTGGCTGGCAGTAATTTAGTGATTGGTTGGTAACAGTTAAGAACTTTTTCCCCTAAAGATCAGCACTTAAGAACTTTTTCTTCAAAATTTTACCAAAACAGCTGATGCAGAGTATTCAAATTAAGCTACTTCGGTACTCTTTCCATGGCCCAAATTTACAGGGATGGTTAAGGGGAGGTAATCAAATAATATACCGGTCTTAACTCATTTTTGAAAAAATGTAACTTAAGTACTTTTTCCACTGAGCCCTTCAAATTAACTTAGGATTAACTAAATGTAATGTAATTTTAGTAGGTTGTATTTGCATGGTAGTTTTTATAATTCATCTACAAATATTTAGTATGAAGTTTGAAGATCGTAATTATGTTAAGCATAATAGCATTTTATGGAATGTTCCAGCGCCCTCGGTTTTCATCGTGTTTTTTTTTTAAATACTAACATTATATTACCGTGAAATGGTAAGTTCTTCTGACTTGCTGCCCTCAACTCCTTGCAACAATAGTTATGATTAGTTCAATCTCCTTTACTGCCCACTTTTATCGCGCTAATTACATAACAAATCATTGGACCAAAACAGAAAGCCGACAAGGTTCAAAGGCCGACATTGACACAAAAAGCCAACAACACACAATATGTTGGGACAAGGCCGACTGAGGAGAGGCTGACCTGCGAATAACGTGCGGCAATACATTTGCAAAACACATTTGACACAATGATGTGCATAAATTTCTTTTATAATTAACTTGGATTATTGCTTATACCAGTGTCTGACAATGTGTTTATCCGGCCAATGGTCTTCGTTGTACCGTGAGGTCGAAAAATAAAACATCAACAAACTCACTGTGGCCTAAATAGGTCGCGCTAGGCACCGAGACAACAGAGATGTGTAGTTTTTGTAACATAAATATTTTTGCATTCTGATTATGACAATATGAGGATTTGGAGAGGTGCCATCATTAGTGCTAATTAATTAATTAGCTTAATTACATTATGTTAATTATGCTAATTAGTTGGTTAATGCAGTTGAGTGGTAGATTTTTTTTTATATTTTTTTTTCTTGAAAAGACTTCTTGAACTTAAATATTATCACGAAATAATTAATTAATTATGTTAATCCAATGATTAACATAAATAATTTGTTTTATTCAGAAGTCTATTTTATAGTTGAATAGTTTGATTAATTTTTAAATTAATTATACAAGTACCCAAAATTCGAATTATAAACTTTCCTTAAAATACCCACAACGGCTCTGGTAAGTCGCCGTAAGAGGAGTGAATATGTGTATTCTGGTAAACATACACAACACATGCATATCTGAATTAGGATTTATTTCAGACATTTTTTTCTATGGAAGATGAAGAATGCTTAAAATAGATTATTTACATAGGTCAACATTTAATTCTCACTCTGTACTTTGTCGGGGGTGGGGGGGGGGCCGTTGGATACACCCCCTCCCTCCCCCCTCACCAAGCGAGACCAGGTCTGAGATATTTGTAAACAGTATTATTTTTTAAACAGCCTACCACCCCTCCCCGACCCGAACACAATAGACAACGATCTATAAAACTTTATAGAACAAACACATATTTTACCAATTTCCGCCCCTTCTACGCGGGACTTAGGAATCGTTCATAAACATCCAAACACTACAGAGACAGGGGGGCGATTCGCAATTTTTATGATGAACTGTGGGCAGGAGGAAGTAAATTTCATCAAAAAACTGACGTCTTTTATCGATGACCACTGTGTGTATATTGATTATTAAATGCCCCATCACAATAAAATGTAACAAAAATTGGTTAAACTGCGTATATTATCGTGGTTATAAATATGTCCGTGTATTTTCTTTTTTCGTATTAATAACAGAAATCAGGCATTTTTTTAGCGCTTGAGAATCTTTACAAAGCAGTAAAAGGTCAAGGACATATGCAAATTTGCTTACGTCACTTTAAGTAGGTGAGAATAAAAAGCACACAGCACTCATCACATTTTAAAAATAAATGCCCTCCTTTTCAAACATGTTTCTTGTAAAACGTATAGACATACATAAAAAAAAATGTGTTCACATTTTCTTAACCCTAACCCCCTTCCAATTACAAATAATATTTTAAAAAGGTTATCCTTATGTCAGGGCCAACTAATTAGGCATAGGCCCCAAACCAATAAAATATGTTATTACTATTAACATCCCGGGCCGAATGTGTGTTACGCCTAGAGCCCTAGACCTACACGTCTGAGCCTTCGAGGGTCATGTGGTGATGCAGATCTAATTAATATTCATAAATGGCGTTGGAAAATTTTTTTTTTGCATTGATATGATGTCGTATTTTGTAAGTATAATAAAAACACCTTTTCTTTTTATTAATTATCTAGATCTCCATCAAACTGTTTAATCAATAAATTCAGCCGCTTTTCATCGAAATACTAGAGCTAGATCTAGATGTCGGGTGTCCATCTAAACTTTTGAGACATCACGTGACCTCATTTTCCCGCCTTGACCACTTTGCCATCGATCGGTTACAGTTTAAAATAAATAACATACCAATATCCCCACGTTCTAGATAATGTAAATGCTCTAGTTTAAAACAATGCAGCCTTTAACACCCTTGTCTATAAAGTTAACATTGCTTTGTGGCTTTACGTTAAAAAAAATATATTTCGACATTTGGCTGCGCGGGCTAGCCTAGATCCGTGCTTTGACCTAATTTGGAACACGTGCCCCGAAACTGTCCGCGGTGTGTTGTTTACAACTTAGTTTGTATGCTTTACTGCAATACGCAATACACTATGATCAACATAAATTTATTGTCTGTTTTCTTTGTATTATTTACATACTTTTTGGCATCGGCCGATGAAATACGCACTTTATAAGCGTTTTGGTAGATTTGACAACATATTAGTGCACGAAAAGGCAAATAATTAACAATTATTGCTTTTTCGGAAGGCAATATTTTGATATTTTGTGGCGTCATCTTTGAAAAAAAAACGACTGTCTCCATTTTTAAAAGGGTCATTTTTCCCTCATTTTGAAAAAAACACTTTGCGATTTAAACTATATAATAAATTTAGGCTTCAGAACTGCTGTTTTGACACACTGCGCCGATGACGTCACAACTTACCAAAACGCTTAGAAAGTGCGATTTTTATTGGCCGATGCCGGATGTAGTCGAATCCAGGAGACTGATACAAACAATTAACCTCTGCGGATACTTTATATATATATAAAAATACTTTATTTAAATATATTAATGCACTACTATTTATATCACTATAATTAAAAGCGTGGGCCGCTATATTTTTTTTCCTGTGATTTTTTCCTACAATCAAAAATAGACGGCGAGGCGATTTGGTGCCGCGTGGATAGGTAGGTTCGCAGGGGCTGAATACAGTGCCGGCAGACCTCCCCCCCCCCATTGCGGGGGGGGGGGGGGGGGGCACGCCATTTAGGGGCCCACAGTCGACCATAATACATTTTTTAATAGTTAAAAGAAATTTAATTTTTTTTTATTTTTGACTCGATTTTTATTTTGTACGATTACCGTAGCTGCGGTTGGATTATCTTTATTCTATAGACACTACCCCACGCTCTTGTATAATTTTTCCCCTTTGTTTTTAAACCACTGTTAAAGCCGAGTCCTCTTTCTCATACTATCAAAATTATCAAACCTAAGCAAACGTTCAAACCACTTCCATGACTTATTTCCCTTTTTTAAATAGTCAAATAGGGGTGCTCATAAGCTCCTTTTAATAGATTTGTACTAAACAAATTAAAAAAACATTTACTTCTCTTAATTATATTTTTTTTAATTAAGTACTTATTAAAGAATGGCATTGTATAAAAAGGAAATGCATTTAAAATTAATAATATAAATACAAAAAAATAAACAATATAAAAATAAACATAACAAGAGACACATTTAGTTATTCAAAGTTTTCATGTTTTATATTCTTTTAACCGACTCGAGGTTATAGGGTTTGATAGCAGCGATAAAATAAAACTGATTTTCCAAACACGCTAATGCACTTACACAGGTGAGATGTTGTAAATTGCTTTAATTATATATATATATATATATATATATATATATATATATATATATATATATATATATATATATATATATATATATATATATATATGTATATATATATGGGGGGAGCCTAAAATTTCTTTTGCGGGGTGGCCCTTTTTTTCTAGTTCCGCCACTGTAGGTTCGGATCCCTTTATGTTTGACTGCTCTGTCTCTACTAGGACAATATTCTGTACCTCTGTCTACCGTTTGTGTTAAAATATCACTTTCCGTTAATATTGCTATTTCAGTCTGGATCTATAGCTAAATGTGAAGTTTCTTTCACTGGATGGCTCGGAGCTAGGTGGTTACAGACAGCGGTTAATGAACTAAGAGCAACGAAAAGGTGGTGGTTAGGGCACAATATTAGAAAGACACTAAAAAACATCACTAAGCAGATGCTGGTGTAAAGACTGGCGGGAAGCGGGATGAGGGGCAGGCTATAAACGTCATGAAGAAACTCGTTTAAAACAGAGATCGGGAGGCTGTATTATCAGTAATCGATCATATTAAAAATCAAGTGAGTTGACGAATTGTTGCTTACTTTTACGTACTTAGAAAGACGAAAGGGAAAAAAAAGAAAATCAAAATAGTTTAGAGCAGTGGTTCTTAACCAGGGTCCTGTAGAACCCAAAAGGTTTGATGAGTTAGTTTCAGTGACTCGGCGGAGGTCAAGACACAACCCCGACTCCTATGATTCACGGTCGGATTTTGACAGTGCGGAAGATAGAACTATTAAGAAAGGTTTGGTAAATGCGCATTTGAAACTGGTGAAGTTCGGTACCTCCTGAAAGAATGGTGTATTAGAGTTCTAAATATTCCGTTAGGTTGAATCAAATAACAATGCAGTTGCAGTCATCGTGTAGTACCGGTTTAACCTCGT